CCATTATTTCTTTGCTCAAACTACTTAAAAGTGGGATGCTGGATTATTTTTTTTTCATATATCTTCTAGCTTATTTTATTTTTCTGTTAATCCAGAGTAAGTGCTGTTGTCACTGTTTCTGGCTTAGGGTGTTACTTAAATCTTGACTGTCTCTATTAGAGCTTGAATTTTACTATGATTAAAAATTCTGAGGTGGGACTGATATTGGGGTTCAAGCTTCAAGCTGAATATCAGAAAAGCAAAGCAGCTGGCCACTAGCTTCTTACCTCTACCTCAGGCTGAATGGGCTAGTCCTGTCACCATGAGCTCTCACCAAGCCTCAGACTGTAACCTTTCCTCAGCATGATTGGAGAAGGAATGCCTGCTACTGAATACTTGCTCCTGTCTTTTACACCCCTCTAGTGCTGGGATTAAAGGTGTGAGCTATAATTTTCTTTTAGACTGATATACTCTTGTGTAGATCTGGGTGGCCTTGGACTCACAGAAATCTGTCTATCTCTTAATTCTGAGTCCTAGGATTAAAGGTGTGTACCAGCACCTCCTAGCTTCTGGCTGCTGGGATTAAAATTGTGTCACCACTGCCTGATCTCTATAGCTTGAGACTTTGCTTTTCTGAATCCTCAGTCAAGCTTTAATAAATCATAAACAATATGTCACTGCATATATGTATATATAATTTATCCACTCCAGTTTGTATATATAGGCATAATAAAAAGCATAAACTTTGTAAGGTTAAAAAAAAATCTGAGGCTAGGGATGCAGTTCATTTGGTAGAATGCACAAAACTATGAGTTTGATTCCTTAGCACTGCATAAACTGGACCTGGTGGTGTATGCCTGTTATCATTATCCCAGAACTGGGAGGGTAGGGGCAGGAGGATCAGAAGTTAAAAGGTATCTTCAACTACATAAGAAATTTGAGGCCCAACTTTATATACCAAACATTGTTGACTTCCCAAGGGAGGCCTTATCCCCTCTGAGGAGTAGATGGGGGTGGGACTGGGTGAGGAAGAAGGGGAGGGAAGGGGGGTCTGGGTTTAGTAAAATAAATAAATAAATAAATAAAAAGGTGGGAAAAAGAAATTTGAGGCCAACCAAGGATAAACAAATAAACAACTATTACTACTTATCATATAGCATCCTACATAGAATTGCCATGGAAGAGGCAGTAGCCCTAATGATTTGAATTTGGAGTTTTGGTTAAAAACCAGTCTTATTTGTACCTAATTCTCTAATACAAATAGCATGTATCTTTTAATAGCATGTATTTGTTTTAGCAAACCTTTCCTTACATATCAAAACTTCCAAAGTAAATTTTAGCTGTACTCCCTGTGTGTTTATTGGAAAATTGAAATAAGATGCACTTGAGTGTAAACATTTGTGTTTATACAATGTATCCTTGTGAGACATACCAAAATTCCCATTTTTACAAAGTAGATACTATTGGCAGCCCATTTGAAGAACATAGCCCTTAACTGGAAACTCAGCTTGTACCATTGGGATTTATGCTTGGAACAGATCAGAATCTTTGACCCATTTTAATACCTATTTCAGCATCCATTTTAGGTACTAAGTAGCAGCCCCAAAAAGTACCTGAGTGTTTTGCTCTTTGTCACGTTGCTGTGTGAGGATGCTGCGCCTTCCCGTTGATGCTGAGGAAGCCTGTCATCATCATTAGCACTCATTCAGTGTCAACACCTGTTTTAACTAGGCACTAGAGATGCAAACATGAATAAAACATGATTCCTGTTCTGGAAATCTTCAGTTTTCTGGTGGAGAGGACGATATTTAAAAACCTAATTACATATCAAAGGGAGACACTTTATATAATCATATATGGATAAAGTGTTATAGTAATATACAGGGGGGATAATAAGTTGGGGGAGGGGTGGTAAAATTTCAAAAATGAAATTATATTTAGGGCAAATTTTGAAGGTTGGGTGGGAGTTTGTGTTTAGAGAGAGAACAAGGGTGGAATTAGAGGATTTTCCAGGCAGAGATGTAAGGCACAGACATCCTAGGTAAGGAAAATGTCTTCAGAGATCTGCTGATAAAAGCTGCCTGAGGAGACAAGTGTTTAAATGTTATCCTTTTGGTGACTGAAGATTTTTAAATTTGACTGACATAATCAGATTTGGTTTTGAGAACTCATAGTAGTTGGGACTCAGAGGAAGCCAGGAAGCAGACACCAGTTTTAAAAAGTGGTGGAGGCACTCCCCTTTAATCCCAGCACTCAGAAGGCAGAGACATGCTGATCTCTGCAAATTCGAGGCCAGCCTGGTCTACAGAGTGAGTCCCATGTCAGCCAGGGCTACACAGAGAAACCATGTCTCAACCCCCCCCAAAAAAAAACAAAAACAAAACGTATTTGTTGGGCATGCTTAATGTGTGCCTCTGATCTTAGCTCTTGGGAGGCTGTGTCTAGCATTTTGAGAGTTCAGGGACAGCTTGGGCTGCATAAGCAACCCTATCTCAAACAATAGCATCAAAACAAAAGAACACTTATTTTCCAAGCAAAAGACAAAGGTTTATGCTTGCAACCACTGCAAGATAAGAGTCACTAGATTTGAGAGTGTTTTAGCAAAGTAGCAACAAGTGAATTTTGTGATCAAAGTGGTAATGGACCTGTTGGCAAAAAGGGATGGGGGAGTGAAGTCTGGTTTAGTGACAGGTAGATTAGCAGAGCTGGAAAAATGTTTTTTGTTTGTTTGTTTGTTTGTTTTTAATGAGGATTGTTTTATTCTGCACATGGTAGAATTTCGAAATTTTAGGAACATTCCTGTAGGCAGGTCTGTATCTGAATATTGGGGGATAGGAAACTGTAGCAATATTTTAATTTCTTTTTTTTTACTCTTTATTTTTCCATTAAATGATAAGGTTCTCAAACATTTATTGATTTTGGTCTCAGGAAGATGATTGTAGAGTGAAAACATAAATTCCTAGGCTTCTGATCAACTGAAAAGGCCCTTGAAAGAAAGAAAAAACATTGTAGGTATTTTACTTTTTAATTTCCCAAAATACCTGTGGGGAAGAAATGGCATATATTTTTTAATTCATGTATTTTCTATAGTGTATTACTGACCATGACAAATGAAGTAAGTTGAGGATCACAGATAAGGGATCATTAAACCTTTTGTTTGGTTGTTGCAAAAACAAAAATTTAAAAATTAAATCCTTAAATACTCATTCTTAATTTATATGTTTATCTGATATCAGTTGTTGCCTTAATGAATGAGGAAAAGTCTACGTATTAAAGAATGAAACTACAGCATCTACTCTAGGAGGAATTTAAAAATCAGGGCATTCCCTCATTTAAATAATTGAGTTGTGTTCTTTTTTGAAATTGAGAGGATAAACAGTTCTTCAAAAATCATTCCTAACCCCAAATTTGATACCAATTAAAAGATACAGGTGGCTGTAAAGAATATAAGCAGTCTTTAAATGGGTGAATTGTTACTATTTTTAGATTATCTTTTCTTTATTCTCTGACAGTTTCATACATGTATACAGTATATCTTGATTATACCCACCTCTGGCTCTCACCTCACCCTTCTGAGGAACACCTCCCAACATATCCCCCTCCTACCTCCACTCCTGCTGTGTGTGTGTCTGTGTGTCTGTGTATCTGTGTCTGTCTTTCTCTGTCTGTGTCTGTCTGTAACCCACTGAGTCCAGCTAGTGCTGTCTACTGGTCTTGACCACAGCTGCAGTGAATTCATTAGTGCAGTAGTCATGTCATATCTAGAAAATATTTCACAGCACACTTTTCTATTGCCTGGCTCCTACATTCTTTCTGCCACATCTTCTTTGATGTTCCCTGAGCCTTGTGGCAGGGGGTTGATATAGATGTCCCATCTAGGAATGAGCACTCAACTGTTAATTATTCTGAGCACTTTGACTAGTTATGAGTCCCTGTATTATGGCCCACAGCAGAAAAAGGCTTCTCCAGAGAAGGTTGAGAATAGCACATTAATCAATGGGTATAAACATAAATATTTATGAGGTAATTTAACAACATGTCTATTTAGCAGAACAATAGTTGGTTTCCCCCTTAGTGCCAATGACCTTCCAAGCTGTGGGGTTTTGGCATAAATTTACTCCTTTGGAGCAGGCCTGAGAACTAGTCAAAAAGCAGTTGGTTACCACCATAACCTTCATACAACTGTTGTACCAGTGGGGGGTCAGATCTTACCTAGCAGATCAGTATTGTAACATTCAGGATCCAGTACTGGGTAAGACCATTAATGTTTTTTCCCCCCACTGGCTTGCATAGCTCCATCTAGCACAATGAAAAGTAGTTAGCAAGGAAGAAGTTCTCAAGTCAGTTCCAGCTTGATTTCTCTTTGTCCTTGCAGCTAAGATGTGCTGTGTCTTTGACAATAGGGTATTATAGACTAATTTTGGTGGACAGCCAAGAGCAGAGGCAATATCCTGTGTTGTTTTGGGGGCCTCTGGGACCTCCTAGGTCACCATCTCAAAGAGAGGCATCACATGCCTGATACTGAGATTTTCATTTAATAACCTATGTCTACCTGGGGCTGTTAACCTGTTTATAACATCCTTTCTTTGTGTATTTAAAAATTAAGTTGAGTACACCTTATCCACATGAAATTCTAGTTTTCATTGTTACTAACACAATTCTGTTTATTGGGCTGTGATATTTTCCTTTACTTTGTTCTTGATTGCTGTGAAATGTAGTTGCCTGCTGTTTAAGGCAGCTGCAGTAGAGTACACCCAGGAGTGGTTATATTTCTATATTTAGAAAACCATAGAGTTTATAAAGCAGTTGCAGATTCCTTTGGGATAAAATGGTTTCTATAAATGTAACATTTTTAATGAAACTATTATTATCCTCCATTAGAGAAATGGAGCAGCTAATATATTTGGGTTTGTGGGCACAGAATAGATGCAAAACATATTTTCTTAAGAGCAAAGGGTATTTTAAATACTTAAAATTAATTATGTGTGTTTTATTTTTATGTTCTTAATCTTGAAATGCAGAGCTTTTACCCAAGTATTTACCTTTGGTCCAACATTCCGAGCTGAGAATTCTCAAAGCCGAAGACACCTGGCAGAATTTTATATGGTTGAAGCAGAGATTTCTTTTGTTGAAAGCCTTCAGGATCTCATGCAGGTAGGTATACAGTTTGCCATTTTTCAGGGATCTCTGACATTATAGTGCTTGTGCATTTATAGAGATTCATGGGGTGGAGGAAATAGAGAACTGTTTTAATTAATTTACCTTAATTCCTACCTCACAGAACAGTTGAGAATTGGGCAGATGGTGGAGGGTTGAGTGTGTGTGTGTGTGTGTGTGTGTGTGTGTGTGTGTGTGTATCTGTGGATGTGTGTGTGTGTGTGTGTGTGTGTGTGACTGTGTATTGTATTAAATTCTCTATCAATGATAGAGAATTACTCACTCTCATAGTTTGGATTTATAACTATGTTTAATTTAGTAATTCCTGTTAGCTTTGTTTTCTTATTCAGTGTATATCATATGCTCCTATTCACCCAGTAATGACCATTTTAAAGCATAGGTCCTATAGGTAGAGTAGAGTCCTCACCTTAAATGGCCCCTTCTTTTTCTAGTAAACTCTATGACAGATTTATTGCCAGTGGGGTTCTTTTCTTTTTTAATAATCAGAGAGAGGGAGAGAGAGAATGAATGAATGAATGAATGAATGAATGAACAAATGAATGAGTATTAATGCTAAAACAGGCCAATGATGTTGAATCCCCAGAGCTTGTTACAGACCGTCCATTATAGGTGCTGGAAACTGAACTTGGGTCTTCAGTAAATACTAGCTGAGCCATTTCTCTACCCCAGGCTTTTGTTTTTAAGATTTATTTTATTTTATACATATGAGTGTTTTACCTGTATGTGTGTATATACACCACACATGTGCCTGGTGCCTGCAGAAGCCAGAATAGAGTGTCAGAGCTCCTGAACTTAGAGTTGCAAACAATTGTGAGCTGCCTGCCATGTGGGTACCAAGAGTCAAACCCAGGTAAGAATGGCAAGGGCTCTAAACTGATGAGCCATCTCTGTAGCCCCTGTATTAGAGACTCTAACAGAAGCTTTTGGGAACAGTATCTGTGAGGAAAGGATTGGAGAAGCATTGAGTAGAGGAGAAAATTGAACTGTGGTGCATTTAGAGAGGACTTTGTCTTTTCTGTGAAGGAGCTAGAAATAATTTCCCTTGGGAGAACAGGGGGATGGGCTTTTGTGCTTTCTCCTATCAACCAGTTATTTGACATGGTTAGCTAGCCTCAAAAAAACATAACCTTGAGTAAAGTAATGCCTTTAGGCTGACAGTTCCTGAAGAGTCCATCAGCAATTAGCATTGCCGGGTAGCACATTTGGCCATGCATTGTAATAGCTTCCACTGACTTTTTTAGATCAGTATCACCCATGGGACATTTTTGCTTATCCCTACCAGGTAGTGATGGGCAGAGTAATTACTGCTGGTATGTAATGGCTAAAGACAGAGATGCTCTTCAACATCCTATCACTCACAGAATTAATTCTCTTCCCCAGAAGAATTATCTAGTTCAAATGTTAATAGTGCCTCTGGAATAATCCTGATGCTGATTGTACAGAGCTAAGGGCTGAGCCTTAAAAGACAGTATGTGTTCCTTAAGCAGCTTTATTTGAGCCCACCACCCAATGTTTTTTCTTCATTTAGATCTGAGAGCATTGTAAGGAAAGGAACCACTCTCAGAACCACCCCATATCTGCCTCCACCGAATTTATACTGCCTCAGCATACATACCAAAGGGAAAGATTATGAAGATGATATGCTTACACATGACAGGATTGCAAAATACCTTTATTTCCTCAAATTTTTTTCATAAGAACATTGAGAAATGGATTCGTAAATACCACTTTAGGAAATGTAAACAGAATTGGGTTCTAGATTTTCATGCAGTAGATAAAGGTACTTGCTGCCAAGCCTAATAACTTGTTTGATCCCTGGGACCCACATGGTGGATTCCCACTGACCTTCACTCAAGTACCATAGCATCACAAAATTAATGAAAAATGTAATAATGGGGACTGGAGATTGTTCTGTGATTAAGAACAATGGCTACTCCTCCAAAAGACCTGGATTTGATTTCCAGAATCCACATGTCAGCTCACAACCATCTTTAACTCCAGTTCCAAGGGATCTGATGCCTTCTTCTGGCCCCTATAGGTATCAGGCATGCATGTGGTATGCAGTCATACATACAAACAAAACACCCATACATCTAAAATAAAAAATGTAATAACATTGCTGAGTGGTAGTGGTACATGCCTTTAATCCCAGTACTCCAAAGGATTGTAATAACAAAATGTAAAACATATTTGAATATATATCATTATTCCATTCTGTTTTTCTCTCATTCATTCATTTGCTGTTGTTGTGGCTCTTTATTGATATTTTACCTGATGGATTTATTGTTTGTTTGTTTGTCTTGTTTTTCAAGACAGGGTTTCTCTGTAACAGCCCTGACTGTCCTGGTACTTTCTCAATAGACCAGGCTGGCCTCAAACTCACAAAGATCCACTCGCTTCTGCCTCCCAGGTTCTGAGATTAAAGACATGCACCACCACGCCCGCTGCTGATGGATTTTTTTTAAGCACTAATGATAAATATTCAAGAATAATGGGAACCAGAACAGTAGTCATTTTGTCCAGAGCATTACCAACCTAAGATACTCTTGCTGGTGTTGTTTCATATATATTTCAAAATAAGTCTGAGAGCAATAAAGAAGGTCAGATGACGTCAGAGAGGTGGATGTGTTCAATGGCTTTGGATGAAATGGGTCTGGGAGCACAGGCAACTTGCTTAAACTCTGAGAAGCAGTGACTTCCTATGACAGTTTTGATTTTTGTCTGTCTTATTAGCATCATATTCATTTAAACTTTAAGTTCTAAGGCATGTGTTCACCTCTGTTACTATGACTGCAGTCAAAATACATAACAATTTTGATATTACAAAACAACTCCAACTTGCTGCTGCCTTCCATTCTAACCCCTCCCACTGTCAACTGCTGGCCTGCCCTGTCTTGAGTAATTTGCCCTTTGCAGAATGTCATGTGAATGTTAGCAGAGTATGCATATTCCTGACTCTGTCTACTGCCATATCATGTACTAGGTATCAAATTCTCCTGTTTTCTGGGTAGTGCCCTGATGCCAGTGCACCTCATTTGTTTACCGTTCACATTGGAGAAAATCTGATATAGTTCAGTCCTTGAAAGCAGTGAAACAAGTTTCTATAAACCTTCATATGCAGGTTCTGTGTAAACATAGTTGTCTTCTCTCTTGGGTGAGGTCCTAGGAGTGAGATTTTTTTCAAGAACCTGCCTGGTTTACAAAGTGACTTTACTGTTTTGCATTCCTACAAGGAATATGCAAAGGCCAGTTTGTCTACTCACCACCAGTCCTTAGTCTGAGGTGTGTTTGAATATATGAGTCTATGAAAGAGACAGACAGACACACTCATAGACACTCACACATGTACATGTGTTCACACAGGAATGAATGAATGTGTGAATCTGTTAGCTATGAACCAGCATTATATGTTTTTTTGTATTTCCCGATGTCTCTTGAGGCTCTCTATGTTAAACATCTTTTCATCTGCCTATTAGCCATCAATTTCTAGTCTTTGGTCATGTTGCTTGTTTTCTTGTTGTTGAGCTTTGATTATTTTGGTTTTTTGAGACAGGGCATCACTATGTATGTAGCCCTGGTTGGCCTTGAACTCAGACCTCTGCCCCTTTCTACTTTCTGAGTTCTGGGAAGGTGTGCACCACCACACCTGGCCCTTTGTTGTTGAACTTTGAAATTTCTTCATTTTCAAATGTAAATTCCTTTTCAGAAACTTAATTTGCAAATTTTCTCCTGATTTTGGTGGCTTATCTTTTCTCTCTCTTAGCAATATTATACACAGAAAGGTTTTGTCTTTGGTAATCATTAATTTGCCAGTTTAGAGCTGGTACACATCTATAATCCTTGACTTGGAAGGCAGAGGCAGGAAGATTATAAGATCCAGGATAGCCTGAACTACGAAGTAAGGCTAGTTCAAAAAGCCAAAACAAGAATTACCATAAAAATCTCAAAAAAAATATCCATAGTTCACAAGATATGCTGGTGTGCACCTTTAATCCCAGCTTTTGGGAGGCAGAGGCAAGAAGAGCTTGGTGAGTTTGAGGTCATCCTAGTCCAAATAACAAGCTCCAGGACAGCCAGGCATACAAAGAAAGATCCTATCTCAAAAAAGAAGGAACACCCGAGTTGGGCAGTTTCCTACATAATTGCACAAGAAGACCTCTGACTAATTGTCTCAGTGCTGACTCATGAAGCTAGTAACAACTGAACACTAAAATTGGATGAGAATGAGGTTCAAAAGCCAGTAAGATGGCTCTGAGTGGCCATGTAATCCTGATGACCTGAGTTCAATCCTGGGAACCCATGGTGGAAAGAAAGAACCAACTTCTGAAAGATGTCCCCTGAGCTGTACCTGTGCCATAGTGCACACGTGCTGACACTCACCCACACAGTTAAGAATAGTAATAAAATTCAAATATTAAGAGAGAATATTAAGGTTTTGGTGACAGGTTTGCTAGTTGAGTTATTCTAACAGTGGTACTCTACATATATCATTGAATGACTTGGCCAATTAGACTACTATAAACCCTTTACCTAAAGACAGAAAAAGTAATCTCCTCCTCCTCCTCGTTTTCTTCCTTTGGAGGAAATAGATATCTATAAGATATCTAGTGTAAGCTACAAAGTGAGGGTTCTTCAAAAAGACAAAACAACAATTAACCATAATAAAATCTCAAAAAAAATAAATAAAAGTATCCACAGCTCGCAGGATATGGTGGCACACACCATTTCTTCTGTTCTATGCAGTGCATTTAAGTTTTGACTTGGAATGTTAGAAAAAATAATTTTTCCTTCATGAGTTACAAGTAACTAATTCCTAAAGACTACTTCAGTACATTTTTAAAACATCCTATACTCACCCTTCCACCACGGTTTCTGTTTTTATCGGATGTATTTATAGAACTTAGTCTGAAAATCAGACTTTAGGAAGGAAGCAGAGGTTTCCATCTTCAAATTAAATTTACTGCTCAAAAGACAGCACTTTAACTACCCAGGTGGTCAAAGTCTTGCATTCCTCCACAGTACAGAAGGACCACCCAGTGCAGCTGCTCTTTGCCCTCCTACTATGTGTGGGCTTTGTTCCATAGCTGAGGGCTATGGCCCTTGTAAATCATTCCTTTACTTGGCTGTGTCTTTATCTCACTGCTGTGTTGCAAGGACATAGCAGCTGAAGTGAAGGACCTTTAACCACTGATTGTTCCTCCTCTTTCAAGGCCCCTGACTCCCTTCTCCATTAGATTGGTCTGCCCTTCTTTTCTGTTTAGAATTTAAACATCCTGTATATGGTGCTTTTGGGCTTGTGGTGTTTTTGAAACAGTATGAGTTTTGAAACTCATGTATCCTAGAGTGATCTTGAATTCTTGATCCTGTCTGCACCTCCCCAATGCTAGGTTATAGGTGTGCTGCTACCACACTGCCATGCAGTGCTAGGGAACTAGGCAGCACTCCCCAGTGCTATTTATATAAATAGTTCACATCTTTACAATAGTTAAATATCTCTCCTCTCCTTAGAATGCAAAGCCCTTAGAAAGTTTTGGTTTGGGGAGCTGGAGAGATGGCTCAGTGGTTAAGAACACTGACCCTCCCTGGAGAGCAGAAAGGATATGTGATAGGTAGGTTTTTAGTTGTGGGGGGGTGGTAGGGGAGGAGGGGAGGAAGTGGGAACTGGGAGTGACATGTAAAACAATCTTGTTTCTAATTCAAAAAAAAAAAAAAAAGAAAGAAAGATGGGAAAAAAACTCTGCTGTTCCAGAGGACCTGGGTTCAATTCCCAGCACCCACATGACAGCTCACAACTGTCTGTAACTCCAGTTCCAGGCAACATGACACCGATGTCAAAACACCAATGAATACAAAATAAAAATAATTTTTTTCAAAAAAAGAAAGTTTTGGTTTGGTTTTATCTATTCCCTCCAATTTTTTCTTTCCTATTATTTCATTTTTGGATTATATCTTGCTTTTCTACTCCCCCCATTAGTTGTCATTGTTGTTTCTACTATTGGTCACTTAAAAACTCAAACTCTTACCTGGATGTGGTGGCACACTAATAATCCCAGCACTTTCTGTGGGTTCAAGGCCAGCCTGATCTACATAGTGAGTTCCAGACCAGCCAGGGCTACACAGTGAAACCTAGTATCAAAAGAAATAAATTTAGTAAGTAAACAAATAAATAATTTCAGAAATATTTTCCATTCTGGTAACTGCTTGCTTCTAAGGAAAACATGTCTCCCATTTTCCAGGGATATTCATGGTGGAATTAATTCTTATGTACTAATTTATATTTTTATATCTTAACATACAAAAGTATATACCATTATCATTTAGATGCATGTTGTTGCTTTTCAAATTTTCAAGTTTCCTTTCACTTACTATTGATTGACCCAACTATACAAAAAGTTCTCTCTTGACAAAATCTTATAACTTATGTATTTCTCTGAATAAGGAACTAAGCTAATACACAAGATTATTTCATATAATTCTTAACAACAATCAAGTGAACAAGGTGCTATGATTGTCTGAATTCTGCAAGTGAGTTCATTAATAAGTAAAGAGATATTAGTCAATGATAGCTGTTCATTTGACAGCTCATTTCAATACCAGTATTGATCTGAATTGCTGTAGTGCATTCAGGGATTAACAAGCCTTAATGGATTTTTAGTTGCTAGAAGCTGGAGGATGATCTTTCAAGCCCTGAAGGCTTTTGTGCAAAACTGCTACTCAGGCAATTATGTCTCATTTCTCTTAGGTTATGGAGGAACTCTTCAAGGCTACCACTGAGATGGTTCTCTCAAATTGTCCTGAGGATGTTGAACTGTGTCACAAATTCATAGCTCCTGGTCAGAAGGTAATAAGTTTGTGGATAAGGCTAAATTCATGGCTCTTTAAGTATTAATTATTTATAATGAATATAATTTACACTTATATTTTATCTCTTTTGTCTTATCAAGGACAGACTAGAACATATGCTAAAAAACAACTTCCTAATGTAAGTAGAAATTATAATTTTTCTGGACTTTGCTCTTACTTGGCCATTGTATCATATCGAGTTATAATTTAGTTTATATATCTCTGTGGTTACCAAACCAGATTTGAATAAAGGCCCATATCCTAAGTATTTATTATTGCTCTTATATGTAATTCATAGTTGACAACTTATATATCAATAGTAAATGACTCGTAGCAAGATAAATGAATATAGTAATTATGGCTTGTATTACTAAAATTCATACCTTAAACAATAATCCCTTGGTATCCCTGGAGATTGGTTCCTAGAACCCCAAGTACACTAAAATCTGAATGGTTAAGGCCCTGGATAAAATGCCATACTATCTGCATTTAACCCAGAAGCATCTTCCTTATCATAGAGTACTTATAATATCTAATACATAATACCATAGTAAGTATAGCAGATAGTATAACTAGATCCCCAGCAATTCAAATAAATTACAAAGACTTTCCTTTTTTCCTCAAAGCACTTGGGAAACAGTTTCTGGAAAGGCAAAGAAATATTCTTTATTCATATCAAGAAACATACTTAGTAGAGAGACTTTGAAAAGCCCATTAAAGCTATCCAGTGTCAGAGCTGTAATCTGAGCTTGAAAGCAATGCTTTAAATTAAGAGGGAGTGGGGTGGGGTGGAGGAGATCATTATCCCCAGAAGAAATATTAGAATCATTATTTCTTCATAATGAAACAGTAACAGTTGTATAAAAACTACCATTTCTTAATATTTCTCAGTGTAATTGGTAGATCATTCAAAGTAATTGATGGACTGAAACAATAGAACATCCAAGGAAAGAGCTTCACACAAAATATTTTATGTGTACAAATACTTAATTTTTTAATGTTTTTATAACATTACAAAAATTAACCATGTGTTCTCATTAAGTTGGAGTAATTATTACTAAATAGTAGAGTCAGAAGAACTCAGCACCCATTATCTTTTGTTCTTATGGAACACATGAAAATGCAAGTGTTAAATACTTCCTTAGCCAATGGAAGCACGGACTGAGTCAGCAGAGCAGCTTCTTGCATAATAGGAGAGATCTCTGGAAAGTCGCACATGTTCTCCCTGAGCTGATTCAGATTCCCTTCTGCAGAATCTTCAACTTCTAAATTATTAGTACTCCTACAGCTAAATCCCACCATTTCCTTAGAAATTACACAGAGGAATTTGAATAGAATGTTCATTTTAGAACAAAATCTGTCACTCAAAACATGTCTGGCTATATTAGTGTAGAAACAGAATTCAGTGCATGAGTTTGTACTGGGTAGATTGAGCTCAGAGTACTTCGGAATGTTGTGTAGATTTGTTTTTAATCATCCAAAATACTGTTGCAGAATTTTTTTCCTTGTAATTTACAAGGTGTGTTCATATGTTACTAGTGTGTTCATATGCTACTTGTATAGTCATATGCTACTGGTATGTGTACATTTTTATGACCTTTTGAAAGGGAGGCCTGTATATTTGGCAGTATACTTCAAAATACATTAAAAATTACTAGTTTTGATCCAGTAATCCTATTTTCTTATGTGCAAAATCAGTAAGAATTATTTTCAGTTGCATTAGATAGGTAAGTGTAGTCATGATTTATAGTACCAAAAGATTAGAAACATCTGAAATATCATTAATGGGTAACTATTTAAAGTAAATATGCATACATATATAATTTGAATATTACATTTTAATTTAAAAAAATGAAGTTCTTGAACTGTAGCTGTAGCTCAGTTAGTAGAGAGCTTCTCTCTCCTGCATGAAGTTTGTCTATCATGTTCAGCCCTCAGCAGCGCATTCAACTTTATGTGGTGGCACATGCTCATAATCCCAGTGCTCAGGAAGTAGAGGCAGGAAATCAGGAATTCAGGGCCACTCTCAGCTACATAGTGTATTTGAAGCTAGCCAGGGCTACATGAGACCTTGTGTAATGAAACAAGTTCTTCATCACAATGCAAAGATCTATAACATACAATGTTAAATAAAATAAAAGTGTATGTGATATATACTCTGATAGTCACATATTTATAATCTTCTAAAAGGGTACACAAGACAGTAGTAATAGTAATTATAATATTTGAGATGAGGTGCTGGGAAGATTTCTCAGTAGTTCAGAGCAATTGCTGTTCTTGCAAAGGACTCAGATTCAATTCTCAGCACCCACACGGTGGCTCAAAACCTTCTGTAACTCAAAGTTCCAGAAGATCCAACACCTCGAAGCCTCAATGGGTACCAGTCACACATGTGATTTACATACATACACACAGGTACTCATAAATACAACATAAAATAAAAATTTAAAAATGTGAGAGGAAAGGAAGTCAGGAACTGTGGAACAAGTATGTGCTTTTTATTTTTCCTTCCCTCCTTCCTCCCTCTCTCCCTTTCTTCCTTGCCTCCTTTCTTACCATCTTCCTCTCCCTTTTTAGTTCAGACTAGCCTTGAACTCCTGAGCTCAGCAATCCTCCCATCTCAGCCTCCTGGTGTGCATACACACACAATGGTTTTTCTCATAGGCATGAGAGTTCCTTACTGAGAAATGCCAGTTTGGAAGGCTTAGAATATGTTACCAAGACTTCTGCAGGTCTGAAGCATGCTCATGATCTGACTGCCATTCCTTCTGCTTTCCTAGCATTTGTCCCCGTGTTCAGTATGTTCCAGTCACACTGACCTTTTTGTCCCTGCAGTGAGACAGACTGTTCCTCATCGAAGGCCCTGTACTTAGTATTCATTTTGTCTAGTATATTCCTCCCAGTTATTTTTTTTCTCTTTTTATTATTATTAATTCAAGTTAGGGAACAGGCTTGTTTCACATGTAATTCCCCTCTCCCTCTCCCTCTCCCTCCCCTTACCCCCATTCCTTCTCCCCCACCTCCAACCTGCCCCCCACCCCTATACTTTTCTTAATATGGTTCCTAAAACCTGTCTTGTTCCCACTTGGTGATTTCTTGCATTTTAAAAATTTATTTAATTATTATGTATACAGTGTTTTGCATGAATGTATGTCTGCACACTGGAAGAGGGCACCAGACCTCATTACAGATGGTTGTGAGCCACCATGTGGTTCCTGAGAATTGAACTCAGGACCTCTGGAAGACCAGCTAGTGTTCTTC